GAAAAAATGAATAAATGTAAAGAACGAGAAGAAACATAATAGAGATGTACAGCCATAGAAAAGTTGCAATATTTTTCTTTCAATGAATTTCGGAATTCAGTCTTGCTTGTAGATCGATTGAACATAAATAGATAGATCCATAAATAAGAATCAGAGTGTTTTTCAGCAAGGACATAATCAGATCCAGAGTAATACAGTAAATCAATACTTGTTGTTTACTTATGTTAAACAAGGATGAAATGATTCACTGTGTCAAGCAAGGAGCACAGACTCTTGCATAATGCATAAAATGAGGCATAAGAAAATCAACCAATCAATCAAGAAAATAAAGACTTTAATTGATTCTTATGTCCTACAGTGATCTCTGTTACACAACACACTTAATCGGGTTAGTAACAGCTGTAGTTATAAAATTGGCTAATCATAACTGTTTAGTCGGAAGAACGACTGTGATTGGCCAGTTTCATAACTACGGACATTAGGCCACCGTCCCATGAGCGAAAATTTACAATAGAATGGAACAGCGCAACCAATCACAACTATGTAGCCTCTGTTTTCTTTTCTGCGATTGTGATTGGTCTCGCTGTTCCGTTCCGCTGTAAATTTCCGCTCATAGGACAGCGACCTTATTAACCCAATTAAGGCTTAGAGCCACCGAACTATATATTCACTGGAATATGCATCTCCGTTGTAAAGCAGAAAATCGTGGCATCAACTTATCAGCGTCATTTTAATTTAATCAATATAAGAGTGAATCGAAAGCTTTCAGGTGCTTATGCGCATTTACATTTAATTCTTTAATGAGACGTATATTTCAGTAGTCATCGTGTGAGGTTATATTTGAAAGATTATTTTGAAAGATTATAAAATCGCATGATTGTAAAATGTGCAAAGCATCAACATGAAATGCTGTGTGCCTGAGTGAAGGTAGAGAAGTAAAAAGGGCATTTCATTTCATGGGTAAGAATTTTTGTATTAAATGTATCAATTCTTGCGCATGTATTAACGATGTGGGATATGAAAAGTGTTATTAATGTTATTTTATTGAATGTATTAATAATAAAATTGAAGTGACATTATTTTTGTTTACCGTTTATATACCGTTCATATTCATACATTTTGATTTCCATACATCGATAATATATTGATCGATACATTGATCGCAGCGCGCGCGCGAACGCTTCTGATTCGCTCAAATATTGTCCCAACTAAAATAGCAGCTGATCAATTGTGGCCACGAATTTTCCTCGAACTGCCCATTCCAGTATATATATACAGTTTGCTTAGAGCACATAGACATGGAGGGAGCATTGTGGTTCAGAATTGAGTCAAAGATGTGCTTGAAAGAGAAAGATATGTAAGAAGATGCGTGTAAGAAAGACAGATGTATATATGGAACATTCGTTCTGTCTGTGTATGCTTTAAAATGCCGATAATAATTATATTATAATATAATATAAAGAGCTTTCCAGCAAGAGACACAAATTAATATAATAATCTGTCGATGATAATAAGAATGTAAATGTAATGATATACAGGGTAATATACATGTAATGATATACAGGGTGGGTCCAAATTTTGGCCCCACCCTTCCTGGATAGAGTGGACTAAACTGAAAAATCGAAAAGTCCTCTACTATTTTACAATGCTCGCAATAGTTAACAAGATATGTTTAAAGATATCCGAATACGCATCCGCCCGAACTACTATTACCGAAATATGGCGTACAGCCCGATCGCACATTACGCGGTATTGTCCATTTGATGAAATGTTATGTGAGAAATCTCGAGAGATTGGTCTAATTTTTGTGAAAAAGTGAATAAGTGAACAAAAAATAGAAAAGCAAGAAAAATTTCTTTTTATTTATTGTATTTTAAACCTATTTTTTGAACATATATATAAATTTCTTTTATATCAATTTCTTTTATATCTTTCTCATAATATTTTCATAGATATATAATTACATAATATTTCTTTATACAAATATACATTTTTAAGTTAATTTAATATTTTTCCTAATTTTTTTATATTTTCTCTTTATTTTTCAATATATTTATAATTTATTTTGATTAATTTTCATAAAGTTTAAATTATTTTTATTGCAATATTAGATTTATTCGCGTCGCATGTTTTAATATACTCCAATATGTTTCTACAATAGCACTTCAATGAATTCGTTGGATTGCGATGTGAATAAATAGATAATGCTAATGAAATGCCCACATCCAGGCGTATAGCTCTTCATGTTGATGCTTTGCACATTTTACAGTCACGAGATATTATAATCTTTCAAAGTAATCTTTCAAATATATAAACGTAAGTGTGCACGAGCATCTGAAAGCTTCTGTTTCGCTCTTATATTGATCAAATTAAAATGGCGTTCCAAAATTTGACTCTGTCAACTCCGAATATCTGTTACCTTTATTTAACATTCGGTGACCAACGAAGATAAAATGATACTTGAGTTGACAGAGTTGAATTTTGGGCGCAACCCAGGAAAACAAGCATCGGGTGCACTTAGTCCTATAAGGGGCGAAGCCCCTTATAGGACTAAGTGCACCCGATATAAAAGGAAATACAATAAAAGGAAATAGAGAACAAAGAATAAGAATTTCAATCTGTCAGAAATTGTGTATTCCACAGTACATGATTTCTAATAGGTTGAAATTCTAGCGGAGCTACTCCCTATAATAATAGTAATCTCATCGGTAACTAGGCATTAGTGCAAAAAGTGCAAGCAATGCAAACAGACTTAATTTGATCATTATTCATCTGCAACAGGGAGTCGACTATGTATCTTGAAATGAGATGAAAATTAAAAAGTGAACAAATTCACTAGAATATTCATAATTTAATTGGTTAATACTTAAGTAATCATTGCTCACTTTTGTAATTTTCATCTCATTTCAAAATATACACTCGAGCCCCAGATGTCGCTTCGGAAGATCTTTACTGATTTTGCTTGTAATCAGAAGGAATATAACCTCAAAGAAATTCTGGGAATTGACTTTGCTAACGAACGTCAAAAGCGTAGTGTGAGCAAGCAGAACGATTTAACAAGAGTGAACATGCCGGATCATCTAGGAGAAGATATGCGGAAGATGAAGAACGAGGAGGAGAAAGAAGAGAAGGAGATAAAATGTAAGCTGAATTTCGTGACTTTATTGTCGATCTTGTCATAATTTCTATTTTCTAAAGCCTGTCTCCTGAATTTTCAGCACTAGATGAAGGCGACATCGCTTTGTTGAAGACTTATGTGAGTTTATCGTTATATTATTGTTAAAAGAGAAATTTAAAATCAACATATAGAGATGAATGCTCATTTGCTATATGAATGTTTGTTTGGAATTCTTGTAAATTTTTGTTTTAATTAGGGCCAAGGACAATATACGAAAAGTATTAAGGCTGTTGAAGAGGATATCCAAACAATTATCAAGCGTGTGAATGAATTAACTGGGATCAAAGAATCTGATACTGGTCTGGCACCACCAGCTCTTTGGGATTTAGCGGCTGACAAACAAACTCTGCAAAATGAACAACCTCTGCAAGTGGCACGCTGTACCAAAATCATAAATGCAGATTCTGACGATCCAAAGTATATAATAAATGTGAAACAGTTTGCAAAGTTTGTAGTTGACTTGGCAGATTCTGTAGCACCAACAGATATAGAAGAAGGTATGAGGGTAGGAGTAGATCGCAACAAGTATCAAATTCATATTCCTCTGCCATCCAAAATTGATCCTACTGTGACAATGATGCAAGTAGAAGAAAAACCTGATGTTACCTATAGTGACGTTGGTGGCTGTAAAGAACAAATTGAGAAATTGAGAGAAGTCGTCGAAACGCCACTATTACATGTTGGTTTATAATCATATTATTATATAATACAATCATACATTACATTTATTAACAAAGTATAACAAATATTAATGTAACGAATATTAATTATAGCCAGAAAAATTTGTCAATCTTGGTATTGAACCACCAAAAGGTGTTTTGTTATTTGGACCTCCAGGTACAGGAAAGACTTTATGTGCTAGAGCAGTAGCTAACAGAACAGATGCCTGTTTTATTCGTGTCATTGGTTCAGAATTAGTTCAGAAATATGTTGGTGAGGTATGTCAGATGTTGTGTAAAAAAAAGCTGTTATAGCAATTATAAGTAAGCAAGAATCTATATGAATAATGTATACAATTTTTTTGCAGGGTGCTAGAATGGTAAGAGAACTATTCGAAATGGCACGAAGTAAAAAGGCATGTTTGATCTTCTTCGATGAAATCGATGCCATTGGCGGTGCTCGTTTTGATGATGGTGCTGGTGGCGATAATGAAGTTCAACGTACTATGCTGGAGTTAATAAATCAATTAGATGGGTAAATTATCTCATATTTATGTTTATTCTTAAACAAACTGTCATCTAACTCAGTTTTTTTTCAGATTTGATCCGCGAGGCAATATAAAAGTTCTGATGGCGACAAATAGGCCAGATACGTTGGATCCTGCACTAATGCGACCGGGTCGTTTGGACAGAAAGATAGAATTTGGTTTGCCAGATCTTGAGGGACGCACGCATATTTTCAAGATTCACGCGCGTTCAATGAGTGTCGAGAGGGATATCAGGTTCGAATTGCTCGCTCGTTTGTGCCCTAACAGTACAGGGGCTGAAATACGATCGGTCTGTACCGAATCTGGTATGTTTGCAATCCGTGCACGACGTAAAGTTGCAACAGAGAAGGATTTTCTCGAGGCAGTTAACAAGGTCATCAAATCATATGCCAAATTCTCTGCAACACCAAAATACATGACCTACAATTAGAACTCATTCGCAAAACATTTAATTTTCGCATTCGATAAGTTATTATCAGCGCGTCATATAAATCTTATAATTATTTTTATTGCTGTATCTATTGAATTAATCAAGAAACAATTTTATTCTCAAATAGAATATAATAAATGTTGTTTTTTCTAATACAATAAGTTCTCTATTGTTACAGTCTCAATGACTTATTTCTTCTATGCATCTAAACTTTCAAATCTCAATTTAATAGGTCCGTCAGGTTTATTGATTAGTAATGAAACCGAATCAAGAGAGTCTCCACACCATGTAAATCGCAGGTTTCTGCAGATCTGGAAAGAATTTATTGAATTATATGATTGTGCATATATAATATGTTATGAAGAATGGTACATAATTCTTAAGGCATATACCCGGAGTAAAATAACTTGCAAATTTTGTTCAGCGAATCGTCTTGCAATGCACGATCGCGGACCATGACCGAAAGGCAATACAGTATATGGATTGATAAATTTTTCTTTCAGCTTGGTTACTTTGTCATTGTTGTCACGTAACCATCTCTCTGGTCTGAATGAATTTGGTTCGTCGAAATACTCGGGAAGTCGACAAATCACTTGATTTTGTGTCACAACTACAGTCTGAAATGTTTCATTAAGATAGATTTTCTCTTAAAGATTTGTCTTTTATCTATCGTCACTATTTTTAAAAATAAACATTTTTTAAATAAACAAAAATACACTACTCCTTCGGGAATGTGATATCCGCTCAGAACTACATCAGTTTGCAAGATACGACCTATTCCTACAGAGAGAGGATTTAGCCTGAAAGTTTCTTTTATTACAGCTTTAGTGTATGTAGCATTCCTTAGGATTTCCGCCGTTATAGGAGACATAGGATCCGTTAACAAAGTTGTAGCCTCTAATCTCAATTTTTCTTGTACACTTGTATTTCTTGCAAGGTGATATAAGGCGAACGACATACTGTATGTCGTCTAAAATAATATAAAACTCGTGTATAAGTCAATTAAAAAGAAATCGGGCTAGGCTTATCAAAATTTGAATATTTATCTAATTTATAAGTTTATAAGTCTATTGAAAACTTACAGTATCCATGCCAGCGAGCAACATATCACATGCCATTCCCACGATATCTTTGATGTCTAAAGTCTCATTTTTTAAATATTCCTTGAGAAGAGACTGTTTCCGACATATGGATGCATCTTGATTTCTTTGAGTAACCATTTGCAACGCTATTCTGTGTGTATCCCCAAAAATTAGAATTGATAAATTATAAATAAAATATAGAAATTTATATTATTATCACGATCCTTCCATAAATAATACAAAGATTTTTTTTGTGATTTTTTTGTATAAAAATAGAAATAGACATTTACAAAAAAAGAAAAGTTGAAATAATTTTGTTAATTATTTTATGGTTTGTTAAATCTAATTTAGATAAAATTTAGAGAAGTTCAGAGATATTTATGTATAAAAAATTTATTTAAACCAACAATTCTATGATATATCATTATTTTTATATGCTACAAAAATCTTACAATCAATTTTATTTCAATTTATCACTTTTTTTAGATAAGAATCAAATATATTTATAAATAAAAATTGCCTACATGAGTGGTTATTCTTCTCTTTCTCTCTTTAGTGCAGAAGTAAAATATATACAAACTATTTCCAAATTAGTAGTACATACATACAGAAATCAAATATGTAAGTATGTGGGTGCGTTTCGAGTAACACATGAATGCATTTGTCATTCCTCGTTGTTTACCAAATAATAAAGAAAGATAAAACGATATATCATGCGTTTCATGTTCGGAATGCACCCACATACTTACGTATTTTCTGAAGTGGATTAATAAATCCAGAATCGAACCATTGTAATTATTAGAGTATATTCACACAAACTTACATACGTTTATGCGATTATGCAAGTTGTGTGGATATAAGCGAGGAGCACAGATTCTTGCATAATGCATAACACGTAATGCATAAGAAAATAAACCAATTAAGTCCTCTGTTTCCTTCCTTTCCATGAAATAAAGAACTCTGATTGGTTGAATTTCTTATGTTTTATGTATTATGCGTTATCAATGCAAACAATCAATGATTTTATGGAAGTTTGCGTCATTGTCATCTTTAATAAATATCTCGTCGGAAACAATTCTCGTGGATAATCCTCGACATGTCACTTTAAAACAAAATTACAGTGGTGCAAATGTTTAAATGATCGTTTGATGTCTACGCAGAACCGTACGAAATTTCTCAAAATTTTCTTCAAAAATGAGCACACACCTGAGTTTTTTCCAACTTCATTGATAAGTACATACAAGGTATACAAGTATGAAATGACGATTTTTTCCCAAAAAAATACGTTAAATTCGGAAGAATGATAAAAAGAGATTTATTCAAAGTATGCTCCAAAGTATGCTAGTTACACATTTTTCCCATCTTTCGGGCAATTTGTGGATACCACGCCAGTAAAAATCTTCCCCTTTTGCCGCCATTCATCGAACCATTTTTTCACATCTTCGTACGAATCAAAGCGCTGCTCAGCAAGTGCGTGACCCATCGATGCAAACAAGTAGTAATCGGAAGGAGTCAAGTCTGGTGAGTAAGCCGCATGGGGTAGAACTTCTCAACTGAGTGCTTCCGAACTGATTTTGTATGTGATGGAGCATTGTCATGGAGAAAAATGACCTTGTGTTGCCTCTTTTGGTATTCTAGTCGTTTTTTAAGCAGCGAACGGTTCAAATCGATCAATTGTTGTTGATAGCGTTTGGTATTAACCGTTTCGCTTCAATAGCTCATAATAAACCACATCCTTCTGGTCCCAAACACAGAGCATCGTCTTCCTGCCAAAGCGATTCGGTCTTGTGGATGGGTCAATCCATGATTTTTTGCGCTTGGAATTCTCAAAAAATTCCACTTTTCATCCCCAGTAATACGATGCAAGAATGACTTTCTTCTATATCGTTCGAGCAAAATTTCACATATGCTTTTGCGCCTCTCCGTCTCTCATTCAATTCATGTGGCACTCATCTGCCGACTTTCTGAATCTTTCCCATCTCTCGTAGGCGATTGGAAACAGCTTGTTGACTAACGCTCAATTGTTCTGCGAGTTGTTTTTGTGTTTGTGAATCATCTTTATCCAGCAATGCTTACAATTCCACGTCTTCATACTTTTTGGGCGGTTTTCCATGTTCCTTGTCTGCAACATCGAAATCTCCAATTTTGAAACGCTGAAACCATCGTTCACACGTTTTTTGTGATGGAGCATGTTCACCATAAGCTTCTCCAAGTAATCGGAATGATTCTGCAGCAGTTTTCTTCAAATGAAAATAAAAAATTAATACTATCCGCGAATGCTCCTTATTTGGTACAAATTTCGTCATATTAAACACAGCAACACAATACTATGCAAACACTTTTCAATCAAATCACTTTGCGCGTTTGATGGTACAATAAAATGGTGTATAATATTAAATCTTTGTACTTCACATTGCATTAATGTTCCATCTGTTTCTCAAATCGTCATTTCATATTTACACCTGGTAGATACATTCAATTATTTGTGAGTTTTATATATA